ATCTTTTAGTCTAGTGGGTATTCGTTTATCGCACAATACCCCAAACGCACTTCTCCGCTTACACCATCCCGCCTTAATCCTATGGGACACATCTGCATCAATCTCTCCCGCTGTTGTGATAATCGACCCTAAATAACGAAAATGTTCACTCTTAGGCAGTTTTTGGTTCTCAATCTTCACTTCTCCTCTGCTTTCATTGTTACTGTTACTAAATATAGAAAATAGATTCTAAAAAAGATAATAAGAATCTCCATGTAAAAGAAGATACGAGAAAAATAAACTTCCATGTAGAGATAATCTTTATGAAAGAATGAAACCTCTATATAGAAAGATATTATTAAAAAAAAAAAAACACACAAACAAACACCATCAAACAAATAATACCAATCAACTTTACTATCAGTACCATCACAATCGGTAAATGTGGTATCTTAATCCTCACCTATACATTTCAAAATAAAATATATTTGATTTGAAGTGGTCGTCTAACGTATAACAACGCGTTTAATAGTATCGAATCTCGGTCATAAATTAGATCTGAGAGCTTCCTCAGTGACAAACTGATGATGAAGATAAGAGGAGCGATAATAACTAATATGGTGATATAAACCGCTCATTATCATCCAACTTGAACAAGGTAATAATGATAAGAGTATTGAGGAATACTCATTTCAGCAGCTCAAGCCACACTCTCAGCTCAAGACACAAGTGAGGCCAAAAGAGAAGCCGACACAAAACACCTCAGCTCACACATGTGCAAGATATCAAAGCAGTTATAATAGATATGGTTATGAGAGTAAAGTGAGTTAGTTAGGTTGTGAGTTAGTTAGATTGTTTTGTAACAAACTCTGTGAGAATACATCGAGTATAAATATCTGTAAACCTTCATCATATGAAATAAGAAAGAAAGATGTTTTTACAATTTATGTTAAATAAAGACTACTATAATTTATGTAGTTTTAATCATAATTTTATTTTTAACATGTAAGAAAAATAAGGTACTTGGGTGAAAAATCAATTTTTAAATTTTTCTTGCCCAAAAACCCAAATCAATTATCTATTAAATTTTTAAATTTTTAAAAATTTGGATTGATATAAAAAAATTGAACAGATAATGAAATTTGGTCAGATATTTAAACAAATAAGGGAAAAAAGTTAAACAGATAGTTAAAAATTTTGAACAGATAATAAATTTGGACAAATAATTTTATTTGGAAAAATATTTAAACAAATAAAGAAAATTTGAATCGACAAGATTAAAAAATTAACAAATAAGGTAAAAAAATTGAACAGATAGAAAAAAACTTGAACAGATAGGAAATTTTTTTGAACAATTGAAAAAAATTGAACAGATAGTCAACGAAAGTTAACAGATTAAAAAGGTCAACAGATAAATTAAGGAGTAAAATTGAAAATAAAATGTTCTTCAAAGCTAACAAAATGACTTCTCACCAAACTATTTCACAAATGGTGAACCTTTCACAAAAAAAAATATTCACTAGATCTAATACCTTAGACACTCTCTAAAGTGAATTTATCACCAATTTTCTCAAAAAATATTATTTAATTAATGAGAAATAGCAATTTAGTGTAAAATCTATAAATAAAAATAATAATAATAATAATTACACATCAGTGCTAAATTTTATAAATATGAATAATTAAAATTTTAAATTTTTCATATATTTGTTAATATTTTTTAAAAGAATATTTTGTTACATTAAATTCTAGTACTGCTACATTTATAGAATTTTGCTTCGTTAAAATGAATATTAAATACGGACAATTCGACCAGAGCAAAATTCGATGAATCAAACATTATTCATTGAATTCAATGTTTTTAAGAAAAGTTAACTTTAGTCTCTTATAGTTTACCCGCTATACTTTAAGGAAAAAGATTGACTTTTAATACAAAGCAAATGCTAACAAATGCCTCATTGGTATTGTTTAATGTTAGAAAGTGTATAAAAAATTACTTTAAAATGTATTAAAAAATATTTTAAAATGTATTGATTTCAATAAAAATGTATTATGTTCTGTAAATATTTCGTCTTTTGCTTGTGCCCTAGGGGTACTTGTTAGCAAGACTCTTAATACAAAAGGGCAATATTGAAGATCAAATTTAAGAAAATATTTTAATTATCAAAAGTGTTATTGTTTTATTTTTGGTGACTAAATTAGATATATAGTAATGAATTATTATATTTTTTGAATCAAAATTTTCATCTTAAAAAAGTAAATGTTTTGATACAAACTTATTTTGTTTTTATTAGGGACATTTTTTAAAATTTGGTCGCTAAAGCTTGTTTATACTTTTTTGAATTATTTTTTTGTGACGACTCACATTAGGATTAAAATTAATCTCTTAATATTTTTTACAACAAAATATTTTATTTTGGAGACAAAAAGGCTTGGTGTTTAAAATCCTAGTTCTCAAATGGGCTCAAGCGCATACATGAAATGAGAAATTCAATGAGACGGATCACATTTACTCTTGTTGCAAAAGAATTCATCAAAGACTATAATGTGAAGATTACATTTCAAAACAACAATAATAAGACTGTTTTTAGTTTATAAATTTGAACAGAGATTTAAAAAGGAAAAATGTATATAAAATATAAGTAAATTATAATTATATTTTATTCATATTTCACCTAATTTTTCTATTTATCTTTTTTTAATTTCTACATAAATTTATGAATCAAACACAACGCAAATTTTAACAAACTCTTTACTTTTTCTTTCCTTTTCTTCTTTATTTTTTATTTTTTATTTTTCTGGGGTAGCCTTCAAAACAACAATAATAAGACTGTTTTTAGTTTATAAATTTGAACAGAGATTTAAAAAGGAAAAATGTATATAAAATATAAGTAAATTATAATTATATTTTATTCATATTTCACTTAACTTTTCTCTTTATCTTTTTTAAATTTCTACATAAATTTATGAATCAAACACAATGCAAATATTAACAAACTCTTTACTTTTTCTTTCCTTCACTTCTTTATTTTTTATTTTTTATTTTTTATTTTTCTGGGGTAGCCACCATCATGAGGATTCAATTTTCAAGAGAGAACAAAACGGAAAACATCAGCATCTCTATTAGAGCACAATTTCAAGGCCAAGCCCAGGTCCTGACCCAGCTACTGATGTGCCAAGTGCAACTTCAGAGAAAACCCAGCCCAGCCCAGCCCATTATTAACCCAATCAGTCTAAAGTCAAACAATCTGAAAACAAGGCACTCCTTTGACCCACCCTTCATTTTCTTCCAATAATCACGCTAAAAAAGCCCAATAACATCAATCAAACAAATATAAACTAAAGAGAAGATTCCAAAGACATACCAAAAACATGCCTTTTGATTTTCAACAGACCAAACTTTATTCTATCTCTCTCTGTTAATTTTTCTTTTTTACCTTCTCTTTATCTTTTCCTTTATACTGCTTTTTTCCTGTGCATTAAAACATCATGATTTGTATTCCAGTTCTTCTTACAATTTCAATTAGGACACCATATTTCATCCCAATATATACATACAAAAAATGATGTAAACACATTTTGTATATACACACTAGCCACCGGTATAACTAATTAACTAGTTTATTTTGTATAAGACAAAGTAAGCGAATCTATCAAGAGATCAAACATAAAGTTGCCTCCCTAACTAACTCAAACTGCCAAAGTGAGATATTGGACCCCTCTTCTTTTATTTCAAGCTACCCTACTTGCATAAAAGAAAAGCACGTCTCTTTTTTCAAAAATTATTGTTTGCTCCGGATCTTGACCGTTGTTTTCGGAATGATAACCAAGCAGCTAGTATTTAGTTCATTATAAATAAACTAAACAGTGCAGTTTAACTTGTGAAACGTACTGTGGATCTCACTCTTATGATCTATGTCATTCATTTTGTAAACTATTGTTTCTAGAAGAAGCATTCATAGAATAAAAATAAAAATTAAATTGATCTCATAATTGTAGGTACATGATTTGATCGTATTTATTTTTATAAATAATTTTTTTTTTTTAAAGAAGACGGCAAGTATATTTTTAAGACTAATACAATGAAATTATTTGTCTACAATTATTGGCTCAATTTTTTTTTTTTTTTTTTCTCTTCAATGGCATACACACAAAGTTTCTTAGATAAGTAGTTTAGATTACTAAAATAGAATCCGAGATGAACCTCACGAGTCCAACTACGTTGTCCAGTCCACTTGGATGGGTTTGAAATAAACCTAATTCCTATTTTAATATAACCAGGAACCACATGAATACATGTACCAATTAGAGATAAGGATGACATAACTAATCTTGTAATTCCCAGGAGTGTTGCATTAATGCTCCTCCTCAATAGGATGGAATTGGAATTAAATATTATACACAAATAATTTTTTTACTTAATTTTCTCATCATTATATACAAAGACAAAGGTTCCATGTATATTTATTAATGTAAATTTCACTATTCTATATATTTATTGATAAAAAATTTAGTAAAAAATTCATTTAGGTAAAACATTGTTTCATGTAATTAATCACTTCACCGCTCTTTAGGTGATTATGAAGAAATGCCACCTATTTTGACTCTTGAGTACTAGTAGTGTGTTTTAGGTGCTACCATGTTAGACATTCTCATTGAGTGCACATGGAGCGTGCACTATATGCCATAATTTCATACCCCACATACTCCTATCCCCTCAATCCCCGCATATCATCCCGCAAATTTTAGCAAGGAAAAGAGATCCACAGAGAGAGAGAGAGTCATGGTCTATGACTCTATATATGAGGAGCGTAAAATCTCTCAATACCAAGCAAACAAAACACCACCTTCTTTTCTTTTTCTTTTTTCTCTTTGTGTGTCATGGCTCACTGTGCAAAACACTTCTCTTTTCTCTTCCTTACATTGCTCTTAACCTCTCTCCACACTGAAGCTAGAGAGAGCAAGTTCTTCAGCAAGGTCACTCCCAACAACAACAACAACAACAACAATGTTATAGACTCCGAACCTCCCCTCATATTAGCACCTACATTCCCACCCACACTTGAACCTGCATCTGCACCAGCACCAGAAACAGAACCTCCCATGATCAGCAATGGCTATGGCCTTTACGGTCACGAGTCTACTGATGAATTTCCTCCCACGAGGACCACGACAACAACAACAAATGAATTCCAGACAGAACAACTCAGTCAAACTTACAACTACAACAACAACAACAACAACAATGGGTACACCACCACCAACTACAACAACAACAACAACAATGGGTACACCACCACCAACTACAACAACAACAATGGGTACACCACCACCAACTACAACAACAACAATGGGTACACCAACAACAACTACAACAACAACAACAATGGGTACACCAACAACAACTACAATTACAACAACAACAACAACGGGTACACTGGCAACTATAACAACAATGGTTATGTGGCTCAGAGACAAGGGATGAGCGACACGAGGTTTCTGGAGAATGGTAAATACTCTTACAAGGGTGATAATCAGAACAATTACTATGGCACTAAAGGGTATGTGTCTGTCAGTGGAAATGGCAACCATGGAGCTTATTATAGTAACAGTAAGAACTCAAATGAGTTTGACTCCATGGAAGAGTATGAGAGGCAGCAGGGGTATCCTCAGAGCCAAGCCCAAGGAGATAATTATATTCCGTAAATGTTAGGGAGAGATAGAGAGACAGCGAGAGGGTTGTGGTGTTTATTATACACAAGATTAAAAGTAAGCATATGACTAATTTATGTGTTATATTGTAGTTCAATATGTATTGTGTTTACTGCACAATTGCTTTTTGTGCTTTGAGAATCAGAAGGATTGGAAATCATATAGTTCTCAAATTGAGTTTGTTATATTATGTAATTAATTATATGTGCGGTTTTCCACTAGTGGAATTAAATCAAATCATTGTGCTTCTCTCACACCTGTTTTAAGTCTCCAATTCTGTGGAATTTGGTTGGGGATTAAAAAAAAAAAATGAGCTTGAGATATCAATCAAAATTACCTGTGGCTGCGAATTCTAAGCAATGTACAAGAAATCAAAAGTACACTCATTTTGAGCACATAAACTTGTAAAATTATGGGTCTTCCCACTAATGAAAACTTTCACATTATGTATTTTTGCACTAATCAGTGCACTACTTGCGGTCCAACAATTTAACTTTTCCATTAATTCTTAAGCTGGTAGATTTAGCTTTCTTGGTTATTAGTTTTTAAAAAGATTCTGGTGTCCTTATCATAGTTATGAAATCTCGTGGTTTTAGTCATGAATCATGTGTAGTTTTTTGCCCATTAAATTTGTGTTGAACTTGTTTAGAAGGCTTTTGTGGTTGTAGGTTATTATGAGTTGAAGTGGGTTTTTTTTTTTTAAAACAAAAAAAAAAAAATCAACAAAAAAGAAAAGTTTATTGATAATAACCAAAATGAGGTGAATTTCCTCCAATCCATAGTCTGGAATAGATGGAGTTATCTGTGCTCGTGCAACTTACCACAGGTGTGAAATAATCTGAATCGTTTATTTTGTCTTGAGCTATCGATTCAATAATCATAACCTATTCAATTTAACGTGTTTGTTACTAAAAAAATATAGACGACGATTGTGTTTTGAAAATAGACTATTTGTTTTTTTGATAATAAACGTAATAAATTGAATAAGTTACGATTATCGGATTGACTAAATTTGTTTGTGTAAATGATATACATGAAGTGCCTAACAAAATAAATGACTCAGATCATCAAAATAAAACTTATGATAGACTCCACAAGTACCCTCTCGGAAATCCACCTTCTAACCGAAAGTTAAGCATCAAGGAAAGTGCACACTGCATACCAAAACAAAAAAGGAAAGTGCACACTGCATAGTGGAAAACCATCGCATACCAACAAGACTGGCACGGAAAAGGTAAGCTAAATAAAATGCAAGCACCAAGATCGTACTCCAGAACCCGAATGAACACACCAGCAACCAAAGCCTGAAAAATCCAACCACAGACGCAAAAACCAAGGCCAAAGTGGCTTTGATTTTGAGATTTGGCGACGTTTTCGTCTGTGAGTCTTGGTAGTGTTTGATTATGAATTGAAGCAGTGTTGGTTATATATAGTATTTTGTGGTATTTTATTATGAATTGAAACACTTTAGAGGGTGTTTGAGAAGTGACAATTTTAATTTTTTTTTTTTTTATGAAAGATGTGTAAAAAAATTAAAATAAAAAAATGATATGATTGAATGTTTTGGATTTTTAATTGTTTTAGTCAAAAACCAATACCCCAAATGGAGCCTTAGTTGTAAAATTTTTGAATTGTTTTAGCTATGAACTAAATTAGTCTTGACACATTCGTAAAATTATAAACCATTGCACGTAACATGGTAAGTGCATATTGTATTTTTCTTTTTTTTTGTGTGGACAATTATTCCTACTTTTTTAGTAGGGTACCCCAACCGGGAAAATCTATAATGTACGGGAAAGAAATAAACCTTCTCGTATAATCCTATTGATCAAGTCTACGCTTCTCCAAACGTCGTCACTTTACTCCTTGAAAATACAAACGTGAGCCAGCCGGCGGGTGTGTGCCGGAAACCCCTCCGATGCCTAAGTCAGAAAAACAGACAAATAGACAAAAAGCTCTGTGAATTCGAGAATCAAAGTTGTGTTACCTCTCCAAAGGTGATGTTTGTGAGCTTTTATAGGTTTTGTGTGGCACAATCCTAGTAGAACTTCTACTCTTCCATGCAGAGTCCTTCTAGGATTCATACTCCTGAAGGATAACATCTCCCTCACTGCTCAAACCAAGTGAGATGGTTTTACCATGGCCGAACTACCATACGACCGAAGTAAGCACGGCCCTACTTAGCCGAACTATAATTAGTTTGGTTCTCTGTCCTTTGTTCCTCTTCCACTTACCAGGGTATGCCCAAAACCGAACTATCTTTTTACCAAGGTATAGACCGATCAAGTTTAGCTGCGCCATGACCAGTATACGTTCAAAGCATCCTTCAACCGAGGTAATCACCAAGAGTCCTTCGGACCGGTCTAACTTCTAGCCTTAAGACCGGACTAAATTTAAGCCTCTTCAAGACCGGAGTAACTTTTTGGCCTTTTTATTCACCCTTCACACCGAGGCCCATAACAACCTAGCTCGGCCCAATTCGCATATAAATTACCCTCTCAATTGCCCCTTAATTCCATCTGCATAGCGTGATAGGAATTACCTGTTTATCAGCCGAACTAAACTATCTTTTAGCCTCTCCAGCCGAGCTAAAACCTTTTAGCTTTCCAGCCGAGCTAATTACACACCGGGCTCCACTTGTTCGGTCAAAATGTCTCTTTAATCACAGTATCTGAATTGATTCCCATTCTAACGACACGTGACAGGTTGCTATTGGCCATCTACAGCTGTAACGCCGCCCTCGTACTTCGCAATATTCGAACAGTTCCCGCCTCCAGCTCTTTCACCAACACAAACTCTTTTTTATTTCGAAATCACTCACCATACTATTCAACTTCTCTCTCTGAACCTCCATTGCTCTTCAACCTCTGAGCTCGTGTTCTCCATTGCTGCTGCTCTCATCTCCAGTTCTTGTCTTTTCATCTAGTAAGCACTGCACCTCTATCTTGTTTTCCTTGTTTTCGTACTTTGTTTTGTGTGTTTTTGCGAAACACATTTTTTTTCCATTTGCTTTGCTTCTTCTGAAAACACTATGTTAGTATAATCCTCAGGTATTTATGAAATAACCTATAGAACACTGCTTTTGATCCAAAATTACACATAACCGAACTAGTAAACTGTTTGTAGTTTGATGCCGGTGAGACCAGACTATACAACCGAACTAACACTCGTACCAGTAGTTTCAATAAGTCAAACCTATTGTTTTATCATAGCCGAGATAAGAAACCGAACTAATTCTACAATCAGTGTACTGGGAAAACCTCAATTCCGACCGAACTACGGCTTCGGGGCTAAACCAGCTTTTTAAGTTTTTAGACCGAACTCAGAAAGCTGCCCCTAGGAGCTCAACCGGTCTAACAGAACCTCCCTTCAACCGAGATATCAATCACCTTGTTGGAACCGAGATAGATTCTGTAACATCCTACATATCCGAAGTAGGTCTTTTATTTTCTTTGCTTTTTTTCTTTGTAGCACGATCCAACGATCTGTGCTTAACACCTTTGTTTTCCACTTTGCAGACTTAGGTTGCCCAGGCACTCTGAGCGCTGAGCCGAGCTACTGAGCACAATTTTGCCACCGATCTAATTTATTCATAACTTATAAAATAAATGAGTAAGTATAGATTTTTAGTAAATACTTCGGGCGGTCTAGCTGAATTCCGAAAAGATTATAATATACCCAACGACGTCCAACTCACTTTAGCCGAACAAGATGTTGTACCATGGGGCAAAGAAGGCTTTGTACCCTTTACCCTTCTTTCAATAATAGAAACCGGGCTAAGATTTGCAGTCCAACCCCTAATTTGTGAATTCCTTAGGCAGACCAGACCATGCCCAACCCAGCTTTCCACCAACTCCTACCGTATAATAATAGATATAGCCGAACTAAACCGCCAAGCAGGCATTAACCTCGGTCTAGCCGAAATCTTCCACCAGTATTCCATAGGTTCGAAGGAAGACGGCTGGGTGTACTATCTTAGAATACGCCGTCGACGTGAGAAAATAATAAAAAACACACCGGATAAAGACTTGAATGATGACGATTTTTTCTGGGTGTCTGGGAACTTTGAGGATCACCAAGCCCAGATTCCTGGCCGAAGTATTAATTGGAAAAAAGGAACACCTGGTATAATTACTTTGGTTTCTTTGTCTGTTTCGTTTTATTTCGGTTTCCTATTCTGCAGCCGAGCTAACAATGTCTTTTTTCGCAGATTCAGCCCATCTGCAATCACTTTACAGCTACCCCAATCTAGGCACTCTCCGCGTCGCACTACGATATCCAGAACGGAGTTGGGCCAAGCTGTTAAGTTTTGAACCGACATACAGATACAGCAGTCGCCGAAAAGCGAGAGTGACCGACTTTCTGCTACAGGAGGCCCCCGAACCGGACCCAACCTTGCCACAAATTAGACTAATCCCACTGACCGCTGAAAAAGAAATGGCCAAGAGAAACAGAGTCAGGGCCCTCTTGACCGAGACAAACAGGGCCGAGGTACCACCACCAAACCAAACACAAGAAGCCGTGGTGGCCCTACTTCTTCCAAGTTTTAGCTCGGTTAAAAAGAAACAATTCTTTTGCAGGCCATTCAAAAAAAACAATATCACTCACAGGCGAGTGTTGGAGCTAAGGAAAACAACTAGGCAAGCCATGGCGGAAGCCGAAGCCAAGACTGCCGAACTAAACCAATCCCAACAGAGGACGGCCGAGCTGGAGGCCAAGATAACTCGTCTAACCGGACTAGTTACCTCGGCTAATACCGACAAACAAAGAGCGCTAACCGAGATGAAAGACAAGTATTTGCAGGAACTGGCGAAACTTGAGGGTGTTAAGGACGCCGAAATAAATGTTTTGAAGAAGAAAGCTGAAGATACCGAGCAGAAGGGCTTCAAGGAAGGCGAAGCTGCATACATCAAGCAGTGTGAAGCTGTGAAGGACTTGTTCTTCAAGTGCGGCTGGAGGGGTGCCGTGGAGCAACTCGGTTGCGGTCCCGACACCGAGGTCCACAATGCTCCTCAGTATTTTATTCCGACCTCACTGGTGGAGTATGCAGTCGATCTTCAGAAGCAATTCCTTGACGCGTCTGACGACGACGATGAAGAGAATGAGCCAACTGACACTCCGGTTGACAATGTTCCAGTTAACCAATCAGTTCGGGCGGAGCCTGTGGTAGAAGATCTGACTATTGAGCAACCAGCTAAAACTGAGCTCCAGGCCGAGATCGAGCTCCCAACTCAGATTGTAATTTCGTCTGAAA